TTTTTTTTTTTTTTTTACAGCCTAAAAAATAAAATAAAAAGAATGCTGAAACTGTATAACTTCATTTCTTCACATATTTTTATTGAAACTTTTTTTCACCAGAGGCAGCTGTGAATGCTCAGCTTGAACTGATAAAGACAAAAGCCTTGGAAGTATACCAGGACATGTTATCAAAAGCACAGCAGGCTTATATAGACATAAATATGTGGCTGGGGGCTCGCTTCCTTGCTGAGATGTCAAGGTAAATAACTGTGTGTATATAGTAATTGTGTGTCGTTTTCAGGCCCACGTGAACAGCATACTATTACTGATCTCATGGGGAGTATCGTGGGTATGTCTGCTATTTTTGCAGGATGGAGCTGTCAGCTGTGAGGTATTTTACTTAAAACCTAAACCTGTCATATGCTGAAAGTTAAGTGGTAACATACGGTAAATAAAATGCAACCATCTGGGGGTGCTTGCACATGCTGTGCACCACACAGTGAACCCCGATACACTTGGAGCCATCTCCGAAGCTGGGAGTCTATAGGTATGGACTGTGCAGAAGCGGCAAGTGGTAAGATTTTACCTGCTGCATCAGAGCATTGTGGTGGGTAGGGCCATTGGATACAGCCAAGTGTACATCTGGGGTGGCATTGATTACTGACTTTATATGCATGGCCCAATATGTTTACTTTGGAGAGGTTTTTCAATTGCATGTCTGCCTTAGGAAATGTGTCAAAGAGGAAAAAAGGAAGATGTCATTGACCTATTAACCCTGCTTCTGCAAATCCATGTTGTCAGGCTTTCAAGCTGACCCTTTTGCTTCAACACATTGAGACACTAACAGCCATGCAGATAAGGAATGTTGCCTTTTTCTGACATTTTCCGATCTACTACTTGTTCCGGGTCCGACTGGGACTCTGAAGCATAACAGCCAGACAACAGCAGGAGGACCGCAAAGGGTTGCCAATCAAAAAAAAAAAAACATTGGGGGGAGCTTATCAAAACTGGAGCAGTTGCCAATCAGCATTCCTCTTCAGTTTGATCAGGTAAGATTTGAAAATAAGAGATAGAAGCTGATTGGTTGCAGTGCAAATCTGCTCCAGATTTTGTCTGCTCCAGTTTTGATACATCCCCGCACCCCATTGTATGTTAGTGGGAACATTCAGAACTTCCGGTTTATGCAGAAAGTGCCTTACACTTTGGTGGTGAGGGACTAGAACCCTTCGTCAGGTTTTTAATGCTATCTGTGTTTCCACTGGGAAGATTCACTCTTTCTATTTGTCGGTGTGACCATTGTCACTGGGACTAAAAGTAATGGGAAAATCCCAAATTTTGAGGTGTCATCAGAACAGCTCTCACTTCCTGTTGCGTCTACGGGACAAGAAGCGAAGGCGAATATCTTGTATAGGTCGCAGAAAACAAAAAACTTGATAAGGGTTTTAGCCATCCCCTTATTTACAATGAAAAAAAAGTTTTTACTTTAGATGCTATATATATATATATATATATATATATACTATATATATATGAGTCTTGACTAAGCTATATTGCTATTCCAACGTGTGTTTGTTACCATGGCGTCAATAGGCATTTAGTTTGTGGGCGAGCTGAACAGTTTTCTGAGCACATGAACGAGCTACAAAGCCACGCGTGTTTTGCAATCTCGTCTCCAGCCTCTGCTGATTTTTCTCACGTAAGCTTTCGTTAAATTCATCAGCTTCTGAGAACATCACTTCTAAAGATCGCCACACTTCCAAAGTATTCAAACCACACTATAACATATAACCCAAAATGGCTATGACTACTATTCTTTGTTTATTCATATTGTCTGGTACAAATCAAAAGGTCTCATTTAACTTCTAACTATCGACAAGCAAGTTAGAAAGGACATGAAGTTCTACTGCACTTATGATAATTTATTTATGAATAACATTTAAATATAAAATCCCATAATATACAAAGTACAACAAATACGAAACATATTGCAACCCACCACCATTGAAATGGGACAGATCTGTCTTATAAAACCACACACATTGAAATCATCCACACTGCCCTAGATACCATAAATATTAGTAAGGGCTTATATAGAAACCTCATACCCCACTACAGATGGGAAAGTAAAGATATACATTTTCTGCTACATTTAGATTCCATAAGGGCTATTAACCACTTGAAGACCAGGTATTTACACCCCCTTCCTGGCCAGGCCATTTTTCAGTATTCTGCGCTGCAAAACACTGAAGATGGGTCGTGGATAGGTCTTTCAGCATGACAATGACCCAAAACATACCGCCAAGGCAACAAAGCAGTGGCTCAAGAAGAAGCACATTAAGGTCATAAGTGGCCTAGCCAGTCCCCAGACCTTAATCCTATACAAAATGTATGGAGTGAGCAGAAACTTCGAGTTGCCAAGCAACAGCCAAGAAACCTTAAAGTGACATTAAACCCTCAGATTTTTTAACATAAACCAATACTGTAATGTGTGCCTTACTGTAATCCATGGTTGTTTCCCTTCTCTTTGCTGCTCTTCCTTTTAAATCCTCATGTCTTCTCATGCTTAGGGAGAACTTCCCTTTTCAGCTCAGGGCCTCTTCCTGTAGTGCTGGCTCAGGTTACAAGCCTATGCAAACTTATACACAGAAACCGTGTATCCATTCCTGAGACAAGGCAGTCTGCTGCAAAACAGAAGTTCTGCCCAGCATGAGAACACATACAAATTTAAAAGGAAGAGCAGCAAAGAGAAGGGAAACAACCATGGATTACAGTAAGGCGCACATTACAGTATTGTTTTATGTTAAAAAATCTGAGGGTTTAATGTCACTTTAAGGATTGAGAGAAGATCTGTAAAGAAGAGTGGACCAAAATCCCTCCTGAGATGTGTGCAAACCTGGTAACCAGCTACAAGAAACGTCTTACCTCTGTGCTTGCCAACAAGGGTTTCTCCACCAAGTACTAAGTCATGTTTTGCTTGGGGATCAAATACTTATTTTACTCACTGAACTGCAACTCAATTTATAACATTTGTATCATGTGTTTTTTCTGGATTTTTGGTTGATATTCTGTCTCTATCATTTAAAATACACCTGTGATAAAAATTATAGACCCTTAATTTCTTTGTAAGTGGGCAAACTTACAAAATCTGCAGGGGATCAAATAACTATTTTCCGCACTGTATACAGTGCCAACAATTTGCGCAGCGCTTTACAAAATGGAGGAGACAGTACAATTACAATACAATTTCAGTACAATAGGGTTAGGAGATCATAGATACCTTTAAACTGCTACACAATATCTTTTCACTGGCCCAGATCAGCTCTTTCCACAATATATAAATATGGCTCCTTTCCCTCCAGATGTGAAGTTCAAATCCATGTATATCTTTCTATCGTGGTCTGGAGATGACAGATAGATGCTGCTTCTATAAATGCATGTAGTATCCATTCAGAATACAAAACTGTATGCTAACAATTGTCCTGTGAAGAGAATGCTGACTCCATCTAGTCTGTGTACAATAGTTTGATGCCGATTGCCATGTGTATTTCTTCACATATGCACCTCCTGGTAACGATGTCAGCTTAGATCACATCAAACAAAGTGATCCCACCTTGGATCTAACAGGTACAGTGACAGCTTCACTCATCTATAACGAGGTTTGTGTATATTTACAGTTTAGGGCTCATCTGGGCTTAAATCGGCTACAAGTAAAAATGCCAAAAATGAAAGCTGGTGCAAGACCCCGGTCTCTTTTGAGTTTATATATTGCATTTGTCCAGCAGAGAGCAAAGGAGTCATTCTGCCATTATGGTGTGAGTTCCCTTATCAGATCTATCATTTTAAAGCATTTTATCAACATTTTAGGCTTCCTCAGGATGACATGGATCTCATTTTTTTCTTCCACTCGATGGGGCACATCTGCTGCAAGATGCCGGTCTCTTTTGAGTGTATATATTGAATCTGTCCAGCAGAGAGCATAGGAGTCATTCAGCCATCAAGTAATGGTGTGGGTTCCCGATCAGATCCATCACTGCATTTCTCCTACTTCATAGGCTTCATCAGGATGATATTCCTTGATAGGGCAGATTAGCTTTCCTTAATCGAATTCATCTTCTTAAAGGGCCTCAGTTTCAAAAATCCGTGCATAATCACGGTATATTTGAGTTCATACAGAGGTTCATTCAACTACATAGAGATCAAAAGGGCACTTTGCTTCTGCATTTCCTATTTTATGACAATATAGCTTCCAACTACTGAGCATAAACGAAATATTTTAGTATACATTACCCATCTCTATCTTTTCACAGTATTGAGAAGTTGATCCAGGTTGCTCGTCACCACATCGAAACAAGCACCAAGATACAGTATGAACTAATCCTGGAGCAGAAGGACTTCTATATCAGCTCTGATGTTAAAATCTTCCCAGATCCCGACCCACCTCCCAGACCTCCTCCGGTGGAAATGTCCATTAACGGCACACTGACCATATCCCAGCTTCAGAGATTACATCATCAGTTTCTGCAGATGGCTCCTGAAGGTAGCACAAAACTCTTTGCTAGATCTGTCCATTAATAAAATAGCAATAATACATGGAGGCTGTGCAATAGGTACTGAGACAAATAAAAGTAAATTATTTTGCAAAAGGACAGATGTAAAAACTTACACATACGTTTTGTTGTGGACAGAATGGGGAGTGTTGAACTGTTAGGTTGTTATTGTGCACAGTCTGTGACTCGGCTCGGGAGATTCACTCTTTCTATTTAAGATGAATGATGAAATATTTGGATTACCAGACTGCTTACCTTGTTCGTGTAGATAGATACATTGCATACAATAAATACAATGACTGTCTCCCTGTGTAGGTATAATACCATATAGGACATTTACAGAAATTCTCATGGATCTCACGTCAATCAATCTTGGAGATGACACTGTTCCAGAGCTGTGGACGCATCTTACACTTCCCGAGGTGTGTTTAACCTTTCCAAATTCCATATTTGTCTTACGATGACTTGTGACAACCAAAATGTCCTGATGCACCTTACCAGCTGACCTAAAAAAACTTCTTTCCAAAACACTTCTTCCCCTTTCGCCTTGCCATTTCTTTTGAGTACACACTGCCTGCCATACATGCACAGTACATTGTAGACTCTTAACCTATTCCTGGGATATGTGGGTGACAACGGAGACAAGAGGCAGGATCATGTACAAGGGTCAATTAAAAAGTAATGCCTCCATGTCTGTATTTGAGATCTATTAGAGTGACTGTGAATGTTCATGTACGATGTTATAGAGGTGTCCTTACAACACTAATTGTATGCTTTTCTTTTTTAGATTGATTAGAACCATGAATCTGCGGCTAAAACAACGGGAGAAAGAGGGTTGAGCACCTTAGGAAATCCATAATCGGCTAAAGAATGTTTATGGGGGCGCTTCACATTATTCTTTAGCCGATTATCGATCTCCTAAGGTGCACAACCCTCTTTCGCCAGAAATTTAATTACAGCTCGTTGTTTTAGCCGCAGATCCATGGTTCTAATCACTCAATCTGAAAAAGAAAAGCATACAATTAGTGTTGTAAGGACACCTCTATAACATCGTACATGAACATTCACTGTCACTCTAATAGATCTCAAATTACAGACATGGAGGCATTACTTTTTGATTCACCCTCATAATTCCAGTGCACATCATCAGGAGTTGCACTATCAGGAGTTAGCCCAATGGCAGAAGAGGGAGCCAGAAGAAGCAGCAGGAATTTCACAAAGCAGCAACAGTGGATCTGTCAGCGCTGGAGGAGAGCAGTCTAGGAGGTAAGAGCTTTATAGCTAGGCTCTACCCCCTTGCAGTCCACAGTTTAAATGATCTACAGTCTAAAAGGAAATACCTCATGTGCTTCTGAACCACCCCACTGTACATGACTGGAGCCTTCCAAATCCTACCTTCAGTTCCACCTACTTTATTCTTTTATCTTTTTACAGGTTTCCAGCTACAGTTGTTTACAGAGCTAAACAGCTTACGCTTAAGAGTGTTCACTGCCCCTTTCCCCCCTCTACAGCTCCATGGGAGTCATTATGTCTAAAAGGAGATAACTAGTACTATCTCTTTAGATAACCCACACTCCTGCAAATCCTTTTCTATGTATTAAATGTTTATATATTGTAATTGAAAAATAAATAAAATGATAATATATGTCTTGTATACAGTATATTGTTAACTTAAAACTATACGTTTTCTAGATTCATGAAATAACATCGGCCTTGTCACTGGATTCAGACATGGCGAACTGGCGTAAGTTCCTGTTATTGGCATCCTTACCTTGGCCATACCCCTCATTGCTCCAGCTACTAGAGACACTGCAGAGATTTCAGGCTACAGATGCTGACACGTGTGGCACAATCAATGAAGACACTTACAGTCAGGTAATTCATATTCAAGGTTATTGATTTAATTTGCAGTGGTCTTTACCTGGTATTGATGATTGTTTTACAAGTTAAAGAGGCTTTTCTAAAAGATGAGGGTCTCTGTATTACTCAGATGGGTGTTATGGGAGGAATTAACTCTTTGGTGTTAACTCTTAGAAAGGTCTAAGGCATGGATTCAGTTTAGGTTTAAAAAGTAGCTCTAGGCACAACAGAATGAAATGTAGCTTCAAGAGCCTTCATGTACCCGGATTTTGTTTTATGCTTATACATTTTATGGGGTTCTTAATATCCTCCGTGTTATGTAAACTTTAGGCAAAACTGTATGACTACTTTTTCTTTAAATTATATCTCTGTATGGTCATTTATGTGATACATGCCTGAACTCCTGAAACATGAGACTGTTAGAGCATTGATAACCCAGCAAAAGTTGGAAGGAATTGCTTATTGCTTCAATAGTGGCATAGTGGTTAGCACTTCTCCATTGCAGCGATGGGGCTCCCTGGTTCAAATCCCGGGCAAGACTGTGTCTGCAAGAAATTGCTCCCTGTGCTTGCATAGGCTTCCTCCAGGTACTCCAGTATCCTCCCACATTGCACAGACATGCTGGAAGGTTAACTGGTTTCTGTCTAAATTGACCCCATTTGTATGCATGTGAGATAGGGACCTTAGACTGTAAGCTCCTTGAAGGCAGGCACTGATGTGAATGTGCACTATGTAAAGCGCTGTAACATACATACCTGATCTCCGGTCCAGGAGCGGCGCCGGGAATGATGTAGGCCCACGTCGCTCGCTGGCTCCGCCCCCTCAGTGGTTTAAGCCGCGATCGCACAGTTGGCCGGCGTCCGTGCAAGGAGGAAGACGCCGGCCTACTGTGCCGATATCCTCGTCTGGATCCCCTAATCCCCACACTACTTACGAGGACTCTGTCCTGCACACCAACTTGGAACAGCTGATTCCTAAACTACTACGGCATACTGCCACAGGCAGCCTCTAACCTGCAGGTAACCATTACCTCAGTTCACTGTGTCCTATGGCCAGCTCGTGAACTTTCATTCATCATTGCTGGTTGTTTCAAAGCATTACTATTACCTGCTATTACAAACACTGCATGTTACCTGCTATTATCAGCGTGTTGTTATGTGACTTTACCTGGATAAAAAACACTACTTTGATTGGCGTAATTAGTCCTGTTACTACTTATTCCATGGTGCACTACTGTCTGTAGCTGAGATCCTACCATACCACGGCCAGTACCTTACATGTGCTGCGTAAAATCTTTGGCTCTATGTAGATGCCAGTAGTACATAAATGGGTTAAGTAAATCCAGGCAAATAGTCACATTTCAAAGTTCATTTAAATATCAGGGTTAAGTTAAGAGTTCGATTTTAGAAGTTAAGGGTTTGTTTGTGTTAGGTTACGTTTTTGGGTTTAAAGTTGAGCAAGTCCTGAAAAATTAGCTCCGATGTCAATTTAGCAGATTTTATGCCCCAAGCTTACTGCAGCAGAAAAATGCCACCCTGCTAATTGCATATCTGGGAAATGAGCGGTTAGTCATTTCAAAGTAAAAATATTATCGAAAAGGACTTTATATTTTTCTCAGAAAAACAGGTTTTAGTGTACTGAGCTCCTGGAATTATAACAGCTCCTAGAGCAAAAAAAAAACCAGCACTCTTTGTATATAAAAATTCTGAATAATTGCAGCTTTTAGTACAATGCGTTTGGAGATAAATCATGGGCTCCTGGAACTAAAACAGCAAAATATTTAGTAGAAGCAGGTCTCTGATTTCTCTCCGAAATAAACAAAAACAGCTTTTAGTACACAGAACTCTTGAGACTAAAATTGGAGGATGGAAAACAGGATAATATTTTCCCCTCAGAAAATGCAGCTTTAAGTGTACTGAGTATGGAAATAAATTGTCAGTACTTGAACAGGATGGGAGAGTGAAAGTTGTGGGACCACCCTGTTCTTGTTACTTGATCCCATCCTTGGCGTTAGGAAGGTTTCATAGTTGTTAATTCTTTGGTTCGCATGGCTGAAGGTGCGAATTGTTGTCAAAACGCTGGGGGTGCAGATGTGAAAACGGCATTCTATTTGGAAAACAGATGGTGTTAAAGGGCCCCACTAGTTTGAGGTAAGTGGCCTATGTCATGCCACTTGTGTACCAGATGTCCTCTCTGTCCACCTCACTGTCCTCAAAAGAATATCCCTTTTGCTGTGTTTAGACCTGTAGACTGTGCCCACCAATGTTGGATTATTTGTTTCTTGAGAGGTTGTTTTGTACAGGTCTTAGTGAACAGGTCTTAGTGAATTCCCCACTACACTGGACTGCATATGTTACTTCCCTTGGGTTTGGGTGTTGGGTCTTTTGGTTGTGCAAGCTTCTGTCATAGTGTATTGCTGGGCATGAAAAACACAGGGATGCAATGTTTGTTGAACATGCTTTTGAGGTTTTCAGACACTTCAGCTTCATACGAGATGACTATATCACTCCATGTGTTCTGCTTCTCCCCTCTGTTTAGATGATCCTGTGTTTTTGCTTGACTTTGTGACGGTAAAAGTAAAACTAATTCTGGGTAGCCACAAACTTTCAAGTTATTCTTGAGATGTCCGTGTTCTTTGTCTTTAGACTCTGTGTTTGTTGTTACTATCTTACGGTGATGTTGCAGAGTTCTAATAACCCCCAGTTTGTGTTGGGAGTCAAAAAACAGATACTGATCTGTGGGGGTAGCTTTCTTGTAGACCTCAATATCCAAGTCATCCCCACACAGTCCAAGAAGGGTAATTTGTTATTGTGTGCCATTGCCATTTAAACTTGATGTTTTTGTCAACTGAGTTTATGTGTACACTAAAAGCTTGAATTTCTGATCTAATCTGGACCCACATCTTGTCCAGAACAACTAATGACACTGAACTAATGACATGGTGTTATTCCCATTAAAAAGTACAGTGTTCTCTTTTCTACTTCCACCATTTATCTTCCACTTATAATGCCATTTTAACATTGCTACCCCAGCAATTCACACCTTTAGCCCCATGCAAATCCAAGGATTAACGCCAATGAGGCCATGCTGACACTTAGTACTTGGGAGATAAACAATACAATGCAGATGTTTTTAGGTAAATATTGGGTTTATTTAATCAGTGTAATGTATCACACTGAAATGTTGTAATTTATATTCAGATATACAGTATATATATACAAACAAAATGAAGCTTTTAGTACGCATAGTTTGGGAATAGATTGTCAGCTCCTGGAACTTAAAGAGGAGCTCTGGATGCTGTGCCCAAAAAAAAAGCAGACAGAGGGCAAAGAAATAGTCACTAGTATTGCCTGTGGTCTCCCTGCAGCTGATCTTTTCCCAATACTATCTTATTATACCTCGTTTTGTGCTGTGTCTGTGATCTCAGCCATCCCAGCTTGATAGAGGCAGGGCTTTGCCTCCTCATGTCAGACCCCCCAGCAAGGAGAACAGTGAACAGCACAGTAGTGACATCACAAATCTCACTCCATGTCTTCTAACACTAGCAGTCAAAGGCAGCAATGCCTTAGATATTACACTGCAGATATACAGGAGAATCTAAACATACTCATGTACCAAGAAGTGCTCTGCCATATTTTAGGAGAAACTCAAGACAAAAAGGTAGAGTACTGCTTAAGTACAATTAACACTCCTAGGTGTTCCATATGCCACAGTAAATATTTACGTTTTAAGTTCAGTTCCACTGTAAATACTTCTTGCCCATGACATTTGTTGGGTGTCAGAGTTCTGACTCTGAGTGCAAACCAGTTTGATCGTCCCTAGGATCGGGTTAATGATTAGGTTTAGGTTGGAGGCGATGGGATTTTTTAAAAAGATTACACCACTTTTTGGAAGCTTACCGTGTGTGCCAGAGCTGTAGTTTTAAAATGGAACGGACCTCTGTAATATATAAGAGACTGAAAAATATCAGGTTGGGGTGTACTTACCATTGAAGGGCTATGCTGCACATTCAAGATGTTTATTCTCAGGCTACTAAATGTTCTGTAAGGGGATTTTGGTGTGTTTGGTCCCGGTCACTTTTACCCATAAGTTTTGTTTCATTAAAAACATTTACAGGGTTATTCACAAAAGAGTTTGGAGAAGGCAGGAGAAGGGAACAATGATGGACAACATCGCTGTACTGGAAAGTGAGCTGAATTGGAGAATTTTTCCAAATCAGCTATATTGTCCTAGATTGTTCACTTCTCCGGCCTTCTCCAACCTTTTGTGAATAACCCTCTTAATCTTAAAACCGTGTTTGCATATTGTTATAACTTTTCTGTTTTCTTGAAAGGTGGAGCTATGGTTTACAGGTAAAACTGAAGAAATAGTTCCTGAAAACCCAACAGAACCTCTGCCGTTTAATAGGCCAGAGCATCTTATAAAGGTATATCATTGAACTGGCGCTGCACTTATGAATATGTTTATGGCACTACAGCTAAGCTGAGTCTTCTCCTACAGTTACAGATGTAAAAATCTTTCTCTAAGCTGATGGTATAGGAACAAAAACAAGCCGCTCCATACAGTGAACATGTTGGCCATAAAACCAATGCAAAGTCAATGCCCTGTCTTAGTACCTTATGTGTCCAACTCCGTCCTTAAAGGAGAACTATGAGATGAGTGATTTCCACTCACCTCATAGTTCTAGCCGACCTGTGACAATGAGACTGTTACAGGTCGGCTCAGTAGATCGGGAGGTGAGCGAACACATACCAGGTTCGCTCACCTCTCGATCCTGTCACGGCTCTCTGCTGTGACAGGGGGAGGGGCTGGATTCCCCTCTCCCCGTTCCGATCTGCCAGCGCTGACTGGCGGAACGGACGGGGGAGGGTACAGCTGGCTCTGCCTCTAGATAGGCAGAGCCACCTGTCACTCACGCCGCTGGGCAGATCCCGTCATCTACGTCGGGATCCGCTGCGGCGTCTCAGTATACTGCGAGCTGTAGCTCGCAGTATACTGAGCTTAGGGTAACGGGAGGACGCTAGTTTGTGTCCTCCCGTTACCCTAAGGAGAACTATGGGGAAAAACACTGACACCATAGTTCTCCTTTAACTATGGTCTGTTCTAAAGCTTTAGATGCCATTCATGAGCCAAAAATACTAATTTGTTGCTGATGTGTGAGGATGTGTGTGTGTGCTGATGTAAGCTCTGTGGGGAAATTGATTCTAGTGAATGATGAAAGGATGAAAAGCTGTACTTAGCAGGCAGGAAGAAACTTAATCTTTTAATCATAAAACATCCAAATAAACTAAATTTAACAGGGACAATTTTTCATCATATTCATTTTCATGATCCATAGAGACTGAAATTTGTGATTACACCTAACCTCAACTTAACCATAAATCATAAACCTCAACTAAAATCCTAATCACTCAACCTAAGCACTAAGACTTAGAGTGACACAAAACTCCAGATTTAAATTGTAAAAATACATTCAAGTACCCTAACTATTAACAAAAAAATTATCTTATTTGTGTATCACTCGGCTGTAGATCCTCAAATCATCTCTGAATTGGTGCTGGCTCTGTCCTTCCTTCTGGAGGGGGCTACTTTTATTCCCCATAATCCAAAGTGGCATTAAAGGGGGAAAAAAATATATATATTTTTTATTATTATTATTTTTTACAGTCTGCAGAAGATAAAATAGAAAAAAGCATGAGGTTCCCCCCCAATTCATACCAGACCCTTTAGGTCTAGTAGGAATGTTAGGAGAGACCCCCCAAGTTAAAACAAAAAAAAGTGCTTGGAGTTCCCCCCAAAATCCATACCAGGCCCTTTAGGTCTGGTAGGAATTTTAAGGGGGAACACCAGCACCAAAAAATGGGAAAAAATTGAAAAAAAAAACCCATTCCTACCAGAACTTTGACCCGAGCACAGGACCGGCAGGGCAGGAAAGGGGGGACGAAGATGATCGAGTGCCCCCCTCCCTGCGCCTTACCAGGACATGTGCCCTCGGACATTGGGAGGGTGTCCCTGACCCGGTGGTTGTGGGGGTCTGTGGGCAAGGGGGCTTATTTGCATTGGGTTACCCCTTTAATTAAGGGGGCACCTAGATGCCGCACCCCCTTGTGAATAAGTAAGGGGTTCTTGCACCCCTACTCATTCACTAAAGGGTTAAAATTCAAAGTCAATTAACAAACCACACTTTTAGAAAAAATCCTTTAATTGAAAAAAAAATAAAGTAAATGTTTGTCTACTCCTTTAATTAAAAAAAAAGTCCTGCCGCACGATGACCGTCCGAACCCGACGAAAACTCGCTGCACAATTACGTCTCCTGTCAAATACCACATAGCATTCGGGAGCTCCCAAATGCCATTCGGGTCTGTGAGCCGAGGTGTCGTAATACTATTCATATGACACCTCTGCTCACAAACCCGTGAGGGGTGGTATTTAACGGGAGATGTCATTTTGCAGCGAGTTTTCATCGGGTTCGGATGGTCGTCGTGCGGTGGGACTTTTTTATTTCGGCGGGTGTCATGCATGGTGATTCACGCTGGATTACATCGATAGAGCCATTTATTTTTATTTTTTTTTAAATTAAAGAAATTGTCAAAAATGTACTTTGTTTTTAATTAAAGGATTTCTTCTAAAAGTGTGGTTTGGGGGGAACCCCCACGCACTTTTTTTAAAATTTTAATTTGGGGGGGTCTCTCCTAACATTCCTACCGGACCTAAAGGGTTATGAATTGGGGTGAACCTCACACTCTTCTGCAGACTGTAAAAAATAAAAAAATATGTTTTTTTTCCTCTAATGTCACTTTGCTGCAATTAAATTTCGTCCACAAACGAAACTTCGTACAGACTATCGCTAAAGAATTTCAGAATTGGACATTTGTTTTCGTTTGCATTCGTCATTTCTGTAATTCGGAAATTCAAATCATCAGAATCTCCGAATTTCCGAAAATTTGTCCGAAATTCGATTCGGAATAAAACTACCGTATTTGCCGGCGTATAAGACGAGTTTTTAGACTTAAAAACATCCCCCGAAAATCGGGGGTCGTCTTATACGCCAGGTATACAATACCGCTGGATGTGCGGTAATACTGTATGTACGGTAGCTTCGGCTACATACAGTATACCGCGCTGAGCCAATCAGGGCGGGCGATGTATTCTATTAATGAATACAAAGCCTGCCGTGATTGGCTCAGCGCGGTATACTGTATGTTGCCGGAGCTACCGTACATACAGTATTACCGCACATCCAGCGGGCTGACAGATTAGCCTCCCTGGTGGTCTGATTATTATAATTTTTTTTAAACGTTTAAAATTCCCGCCGGTTCCGCCCCCCTGCGACGCTGGCGCTCGCAAGGGACGGAACCCGGAAGACGGAGGACACAGCGGGGATCATGGACAAGGTAAGAGACTGTAATCCCGAGTGTGGCTCGGGGTTACCGCTTATGTTACTGAAAATTAACCCCGAGCCACACTCGGGAATACCGCCATGGAGGTTAGTGGGTGCATTTAAACATTATTTTG